GTGTCAAGCTCCTTGGTCGAGGCTCCGTCGGGACGACTCCGCCCGGTATGGGGGGAAGGATCATGAGATGATGATGCGTGCCTATGATTGTACATATCTTTTTCATTTTGGCCATGATCGCATGTCAAGGACGTCATCTCGCAAGGACGTCATATCGCACGACACAGTACGTGAAGCTTACGTCATGTCCAAGATGATGCATGATGGCGCAGATGAACGATGTGAGGGCAAAGACTTATTGGTTGACACACTTACTGCTCTTGCTTTTACCCTGGGCCGATTGCAAACCCGTCTACAACCATTCGACAATTAGAAGTGGCCAGTACAGACAACAAAGTCCTAGCGCAATCACTCAAGAGTTCTTCAAATGTTTGATGAGGCGCGTCTCCGTCTCGAGCACCCGCTAGACTAGTCACGACCCCGCTTCGATGCACGACCTGTCTGCGGATGCATTAACCTGCCTAGGCCGACTTTTTGGCTGACGACTTCTCTGCCGTGACGACCATCTCCTTACTCTCGCCTCGATCTTGGGCCATACCCAGTGAAAGCACCCCACAGCAATCTTCCCGGTCCATTTGAGAACGGTCCAAGCGAGGCACGCGCACAGGTAAAAGTACAGCACGCGCCACGTCGCGCCGAAGGGCAGAAAGGGGAAGAGGCCGACGGAGAAAACGACAATCCCCATGTCGATTGGGTCTCGCTCGCCCTGGATTGCCGCGCGGAGGGAGGGCCACCCGGATAGTGCGGCGACGAACACCTGGACCGTAATCGGGATGCCCAGCTCAGAAGCGAACCCGAACAGTCTGACCCCAAAGAAGGCGGAGTCCAGGGAAAGCACAAGGCCAAAGATGACGTCAGCGACGCAGATGCCCCAAATCACGCGGTCCGCGGCTCGGAGCGCCTCCTCGAACCGGAACGGTGACTGGATTTCCTGCTGCAGGGATGTCAGGAACGCGTCCCCGAGGCACCCCCCGCGGTAATAAGCTGCCTTTCTCCCCTGTTCCGCCGCTCTCTCGCGATTCGTTCCGCTCGGAACCACGCCGGCGCCCGGGTACAGCGCAAGGACCACCCGACCCCGCCCTGACGCACACAGCTCACTGACTTTGGCGAACAGCTGCCGCGCCGCGGCCGCGCTCTGCGCATAAAAGGCCGGCCGCAGATGGATGACGACGCGGGCGTCGGCGTTCCGCTCCAGAAACAGAGCGACGGAATCGAGGTCCGCCAAAGTCAGCGGAAAGTCGAGCGCAAGCGCTTGCAAGTCCTGGCTAGCCTGCAGCTCTGCGCAGGTGAGGATGGGCCGCGCCATGCCATTGTTGCGGGAGAAGTCGTGGCCGAGATGCTGGAAGGTGACGGTTCCGGCGTCGCCCTCGCCAAGCACAGCGGAAAGTGAGCGGAGTTCCGAGCGGCTCAGCATGCAATTCCGAACGACCACGCGGTGAGCGGACGGCGCGTCTCGGAGAAATCTCCCGAGCTCCTCGAGGAGAGGTTCCTCAAGATGAGTAACGAGGTGCTCGAGGATGACGGTGTAACTGTAAACCTCCGCCGTCGCGCCTCTAGTTTGCGACTCTCCACCGCCCGGTACTGCTGCTATCTCCGCTCTTTGTTCGACGACTGAAGCAACCTTTCTCAAGAATCTTTGGAAAGCTGCTTTCGAGCCATCAAAGTGAGGAGCGACTGAAGCAGCGACGCGCTCTAGTTTCGTCTCGATCGCCTCAGATGCGCCAAACGGTTCTTGCGCTGGTCCCCACGGGTTGAATGGCGCCAGACATTCCGGTTTCCAGGGGTACGTACCGGACACCTTGAGATTCACAAGAAATGCACAATCGAGCGCCAGACTCCGAATCACATCTAACACCGGGTTGTTCGTCAGGAAACCGGGGTCACCATCCCCGACCATTCTGACAGTCACTTGGAACCCTGCTGCGGAGAGGGCGATCGCGCAGGCCGCCACAAAGTTTGGGGACAACTGGACCGCTCCAGAGACGTTGAGAAGGAGCTCTCTCTTGGCTGACCTCTGTCGTTCAGGCCTTTCCGTCGGACTGCTCGTTCCGCTCCTCACGAAGGTGGCAGATGCGCTGCTGCGTACGTTCCGCAGGAAGTTGCAGACGGAGCGGACAGCCAGCGGAATCCGCTGCAGCTGGTCTTCCACCCAGAGCGTGCATGTCTCCAGGAAGAACCTCACAGGAGTCCACGACTCAGGCACTGCGGTGTGCAGGTACCGCAGGGACATCAGCTGCAAGAAGATGGCCTCCCTACAGAACGACGCCCGTGTTTTCCGCTTCAGCTGTTCCACCGCGAGTAACTTGGCCATCCTGTGCTTCATAAAAGCCTCGGTGACGTCACTCAGGCTCTCCGCCATGCGCCGTATCCGAGCTGCGCCTCTCTGCATGCGTGGCTCCAGCCTGATCAGCAGAGACAGAAGCTGGTCCTCCGTGCAAGTTTGCGCGTCCACAGCTCCTAGCTTTATCGCATGCCAAAGCTCCGGATCCCGCAGCGCATCCCTGTGGCTCTTGTCCAAAATCTCGAGGCGCAGGCGCTCCTTCAGGCTGAAGTCTTTGAGGATCAGACGGAGGACATCCACAGGCATCGCAGCCAACGCCTGCGCTTCTGCAGATGGACAAAGAACCTGAGCCGCCATGATGCGCTGGCGGCCCTGTAGGCGCTGCTAAGCCGATTACAATAGCCGACGTCCTTGCGGGTTATTGAAGCGCTTTGCAGCTGAATCAAAGAGAGCACTCTCGGCGAGTAGCAATACAAGCTGCAGCTACAGTAGCTAAGCGAACAAGCGCAGAGGTGCTGAAGCACAGAAGATGTGAGAAAATTCGACGTATTGTCATCCACTGATCATGTATCTCCCGTTCAAGTCGAGAGTTTCAGCTGTACGCGCGTTCATTCATGGCAGTACTACGTGACAGTATAAAAGCAGACGATGGGCATGATAATATGATATGGTAGAATGCTTGAAGATACTACGTGCGCTGCAGGCTTGACAATCGGTGCGGTACGAGACCTGGTCGGTACCGCAAGGACCGCTGACTGCGCCAATCAAAGCTTTCACTACTTCAGTAGTCAGAGTCGTACCGCACCGTCACTCCGACGTCATCACGGTTGACAACTTTCAAGCAAGATAACAGTAAGCCAAGATAACAATAAGCTCGACCGACTAACACTTAAAACCCTAACCCAAAAAGACACCCGCTCCGCACCCGTACCCACCCTAACCACCAAGCTAACCCTACCCGCCCAATGCGGTTACCTTACTAATATCTCGGCTTACAATTTATTTTTCTTGAGTTCCATTGACGGTTCCGGGCCGATCAGCAGTTCCATATCACAGGAAATCGGAATGCCATGCAGAGGTTTGCGTGCAGCGCCTGATGTAGCAGGAACGTCTTCAAAATGGTGAGTGGTACTTTCACGCTTGGCATAAGACAGCTTAATCGCAACGAGCGGGTATTTTTTAGGTTGCGCATGTGTCATGTAAAAATCTCGCGTTGCGATTGTGTCACCTGATTGAATGCGTATGAGGAGGCGGGGCCAGCTTGCTTAAGCAGCGTGGCGCAGGCGGCCAGCTGGACATAAACGACCGACCGTCTGATTTCGGCCAATCGCTGTTAGCTTAGCATGAGCCAATGAAAGACTCCCAAGCTGGGAGCCCTCGCACCAATTTCGATGACAGAAATCGAGCAAGTCTTTTCGAAGCACGTGTTTGTAAGCATCTAAGATCCACGCCCGTCCATTCTAGCAACAATAAGGAGACTTACGTTATGTCCAAGATGAGGCATGATAGCGATGTGAGGGCAAAATTAAATTTCCTGGATTGACGCGATTTCTGCTCTCGCTTTTACCCTGGGCCGTATAAAAAGCCGTCTACAAGGAGTGGCCAGTACCGACCAAAGCCTCGGCGCATTACTCGAAGTTCCAAATATGTTTGTTGAGGCCTGTCTCCATCTCAAGCACCCGCTGGACTAGTCACGACCCCATTAAGGTGAACGACCTATTTGTGGTTGCACTAATCTGCTTAGGCCGACTTTCTGGCTGACGACTTCTCTGCTGACCGTGACGATCATCTCTTTACTCTCGCCTTGATCTTGAGCCCTGCCCGGCACTCCACAGCAACCGTCCCAAACCACTTGAGAACGGTCCAAGCGAGGCACGCGCACAGGTAAAAGTACAGCGCGCGCCACGCCGCGGCAAAGGGCAGAAACAGGAAGAAGCCGACGGCAAAGGCGACGATCACGAAGTTGATCGGGTCGCGGTCGCCTTGGATCGCCGCGCGCAGGTGGGGCCACCCGACGACACTAGCAATGAGTACCTGGATCATGATCTGGATGCCCAGAATAGGAACGAATCGGAAAAATCTGACCCGGGCGAGGAGGTAATCCAGAAGTAGAACCAGGCCGAAGATGACGTCAGCGATGCCGATGCCCCAGAAGACGCGGTCCGCGGCTCGGAGGGCGCCCTCGAACCGGAGTTCCTGCTGCAGGGGAGTCAGGAACGCGTGCTCGAGGAGCCCCCCGCGCGGATCCGCTGCCGTTCCGCCCCATTCCGCCGCTCTGGTGCGATCCGTTCCGTTCGGAACCCGCGCCCCGCCCTGGTGCCACACGAATTTCAACCGACCACCTCGCTCTGACGTGCACAGATCGCTCACTTTCGCAAACAGCTGCCCCGCCGCGGCCGCGCTCTGCCATGAAAGGCTGGCCGCAGATGAACCACGACGTGGGCGCCAGTCGCGTTCCGGTCCAGAAAGAGGGCGACGGAATCGAGATCCGCCAGAGAGAGCGGAAAATCGAGCGCAAGCGCGCGCAGGCCCTGGCTAGCCTGCAGCTCTGGGGAGCCCAGGATGACGCACGCCATGTTGGAGTTGCGGGAGAAGACGTGGCCGTGATGCTGGACGGTGACGGTTCCGGCGCTGCGAAAGCCGAGCACAGCGGAAAGCGAGCGGAACTCCGCGCAGGTGAGCGTGCAGTTCCCGACGACGACGCTAAGGGCGGGCGGCGCGTCGTGCAGGAACCGCCACAGCTCTTCAATTAGTGGCAGCTCGAGTGGAGAAACGAGGTGTTCAAGAATGACGGTGTGACCGAAAGCTCTCGCCATCGCGCCTCTGGTTCGCGACCCTCCGCCGCCCGCGACTGCCCGCGATCTCCGCTCGGAGCTCGACGAGAGACGAAATCTTGCCCAGGAAAAGCTCGTAGGCTGCTCTTGACCCCTCGAATTGAGGAGCGATCGAAGCAGCGACCCGCTCTAGTTTTGTCTCGATCTCCTCAGGTGCGCCGACCGGTTCTTGCGCTCGTCCCCAGGGGTTGAAGGGCGTCAGGCAGTTCGCTTTCCAGGGGTACGCACCGGAAACCTTGAGATTCACGAGAAACGCGCAGTCCAAAGCCAGGCTCCGTGTTACTTCGAAGACCGGGTGGTTAGTCAGGAAACCAGGGTCACCTTCTTCGTCCATTCTGACACTGCCTTGGAACCCCGCTGCAGAGAGGGCGATTGCGCAGGCCGCTATAAAGGTCGGTGACAGATTGACCGCTCCGGAGACATCGAGAAGAACGGCTTTCTTGGCTGACCTCTGCCGTTCCGGCTTCTCCAGCGGACTGCTTGTTCCGTTCCTCACGAAGGCAGATGGGTTGCTCTTGACGTTCCGCAGAAACTTGAAGACGGAGCGGACGGCCAGCGGAATCCGCTGCAGCTGGTCAACGAGCCACAGCGTGCATGCCTCGAAAAAGAATCTCACCGGACCCCAAGATTCAGGCACTGCTTTGTACAGGAACCGCAGGATAACCAGCTGAATGAAGATGAAGTCTCTATTGAACGACGTCCGTGTTTTGCGCTTCAGCTGTTCTACCGCGAATTCTGGCACCATATGCTTCGTGAAACTTTCGGTGACGTCATCCAGGCTCTCCGCCATGCGCCTTATCTGAGCTGCGCCTCTCTGCATACGTGGCTCAACCCTGCTTAGCAGGGACAGAAGCTGGTCTTCCGTGCAATTCAGCGCACATAAAGCTTCCAGATCTATCGCTTCCCAAAGCTCCGGAACCCGCAGCGCATCGCGGTGGTTCTTGTCCAAGGTTTCCAGGCGCAAGCGCTCCTTGAGGCTCATGTCTTTGAGAATCAATGCGAGGACGTCCACAGGGAGTGCAGCCAAGGCCCGCGCTTCTGCAACTGCACAGTGCACGCGGTCCGCCATGATGCGGGCGCGCATGGAACCATATACGCTGCACAGTCTTCGAAGTTGCCTTCTTTGTAAAGTCGAAGTGCCTTGCGACTAAGAAGGTTTCTGGCCGGTGACTCGCTACAGCTGCAGAATTCGCTAGATCAGGAGAATCAATGGTGCTCATGAACTTAAAAATGCTCGGAACTTTGAGCTGTACATGTACAACATCGATCAGCTCTGAAAAGGATCCAGAATACTGTGAAAGAGTACGGTACTTATTCCAGGCCGATGGATCCTCACGACACGATCAAACGCATTGTGCAGGCTTGACGATCAGTTCGGTACGGATGTCGACCCGGTCGGTACCGCTGAGCTGAAGCGGCATTGTTTGAAGGCGCATCGGTTGAATTGCGAAGCGCCTCTGCGCGCCGGGCTCCTACCTTGCCGTTTTGTTGCTAGTTGAGCTAATCGTCCATAACAGAGCGTCTTGGCCTCTAGGCTGTACTAGCTAGTTTGGAGTAGCAGGGTAACCCTGTTCGCGGTCCTACGTTGGAAGTCGATCAAACTTGAATCGTTAACTTTGTTTCAGTTTGCTGCTACTGAGGCGCTTGGGAGCCAAGTTGTCAAGCGAAAATCCTGCCGACCTTTGCGGCGGACGTCCCCGGCCTCGTTGGCCGGATTTCTCTCCCAGCAGGGGCAAGCACCCGAAGCATTGGAACACGCCCTTCCGGTTGGATTCAAGCACTTACGAAAGTTGCAATCTCATTTTAGAAGTCCAAATCTTTGGCACTATATTAGACTGTTCAGACCGCAGGAGCACTTTGGCCAGTCTACGACACGGAAAGGCGTGGAGCCGTCCCTGGAGCTGCCTGGGGGTCTGGGTCAGCTCCTGCGGAGACCATGTGACTCTGATACTTGGTGTACGCGAGGTGAGCGCTGACGTCATCCTAGCAGTTTCAGAACTACTTTGCAATATCGTCAGGACTGGGTTGACATGCATGAAGGGCGGGGCATCAGGTGTCGCGCAAAGTTTTGGTGCACATAAGGCAACTGCTGATGTCCGTCCTCCGAGAGCTCCAAATATTTCTGCAATATCGTGCCACGTCTGCATCGACGTGGCAATTGCGTGCGGGCTGCTTCTTTCATTCGACTGCTGGAATTAGATAACATTTCGACACATCTTCTTGGGCTATCCAGGGACTGCCGATTGAGGAGTCTATTGGGCGCACCGGTGCGGAAAATGCCTGGCGGAGGATTTGAAAGTGGAAGTGTTGGAGAGCTCGAAATCCCGGAGGAGTTACTTTTGGATTCTTCGCTGGTTTGGGGGTTATGTTGGTTTCAACCAGACACGCAGCAAAACCATGCTTTTTAAATCTTTGAGCAGCTCCCGCTTTCTCGTATCGACGCCTGATGACGTACTAACAAGCGACCCGGTTTGAGGACCTTGCGCCATGGTGAAGTACCGCAATTCTGAAAGGGACTTGAGAATCTGGATGCACACGACACCCGAACCGCATGACATGCAAAGTACACACGAGCCCGGATGTCACCGTGGCTTAGCAGCATATGTTGGATGATGCAGATCAACTGCACGAGTCCTCGAAAGCTGCTCGAAGCACCATGAAGTGGCTTAGAAGGCCGTGGATGCGCATACTCCAAAGACGTGCGGCGAGGAGTCCCCTCCTCACTTTCTTGGTCTTGGATCGAATAAATGAATGCAGTTGTCAAGTTCGATTGCGTCCGGTCTATCGACTCGGGCACTCTCATGCTTACGTTACGATACCTACACGCACGGAAATGGCGGAGTCTGACCGGCGAAAACATTTCGTCACACCATAATGACTATGAAGGTAAAAGTGCTGCAACGACCGAGCAACATGTATGCAAGATCATCATGCACGCGTCCGGTCGCGCACGTGATTGTTGATGCCTCGAATCATAAATCACCTCTGATTGACATGTATGCAAAGATCGTCATTCACGCGGTTGCATGGGACGCGTTTGCCGCGGCGCGCCCATCGAATCATTGAGATATATGAGACCGTCGCAACTAGCTAGGTGATTGAGTCCCCTTTCAAAGTAAGACGTCACTTGCACCAATTAGCGCGGTGGTATAATCTCTACTCAAAGTCGAGCAAAAACGTGCATCCTTTGATCAAATATTTGCCGTAGCAGATTCGTCTAAATCAGGCAATAATGATAAATATGGTGCTGTATACTGGCAATTAGTCCTCTTGTACTTCCCTAAATGCCTAAACTAGAATATGCGCCATTTTCCAAATCTTCCCTGACGTCAAGCGAGATTCTTCTTACACTACGGAAGATTATATTCTCGTTTCCAAACAATTCTAGCTAGGATTGTTTGTTACTTTCAGCCTATATACACGGTAAGGTACAACGTCCGCCCACAACAAACATCTACAAACCCCCCAAACATGTTCACGTGTGTTCCATTGCCACACTGCTGCGCTCACTCCTGCCAACCGTCGTCAATGGTACGTAGCGTACTCTTTACAACCAACAGTAGGGAGTCTCATCCAACCAGATCCCTACTCATCATCAACCGGTTCTCTGCCTCCACTCCATGATTGCGCTCTTGACGGTATGGTTGCAAACGACGTTCGTGTGAAGCAGAGGCAGGCCCGTCACGGGAGACGTGCGGTACACGGCCAGCCATTTCTCAATCTGGCTCCTCTCGTAAGTGTGGCCATCGGCCGCCACGACCGGATCTTCCATGATCTCCTGTACGGATAGGTTTTATGAGATGTTCAAAAGCCGAACGAGGCAAGACTTCCAGCTGTTGAATCAGAATTATGAAGGCTTCGGGTAAAAGTAAGAAGTTGAAGCTGCGTCGTGAGATCGGACGTCAACACTGTAGCAACCCGGACTGCAATGGGAGAATTAGACCGGTCGCTCCAAAGCACTGCATGCCTTACGAGAATCTCATGTTGCGGACTGTAGTGGGCGAGGAGTTGAACGAGTCGACAAGCACGACGGCTTTCACACCGCACTTTCACATATCGCCTCTTTAAAACTTACTGACTGATTGGGCAGCAGAACTGAGCCTCCAGGATGTCATCACTGTCGCGCGGGCGTGCCCCGGGCGCTGGCAGGGCGGCCGCGGCCGCGCGGCGCAAGCTCTCCAGTTCCTGACGCTCGGCCGCCATTCCAAGGTCGTTCAGGCGAGACAGAACCGGGATGACCTCCGACTCTAGGTCAGGTCGCATCTCCTGGTCAAATTCGGTGCATCGGAGACCCAGGGCGGCCAGCTGCACAAGGACAAAAGAGGGCTTTAAGCTGACCCGGGTAAATGTCGGCAAGGGCATTGCATCTCGGGCTGCAGTCGAAACGAATGTAGGCATAAGAAGGAGGAGCAGAAAGCGTCTCAAATGATTTCAAATAGCGTCCCGGAGCACCTTTTACCCGCAAGTCTAGACGGAAGTAAGGCAGCGCCCAAACACGAGCCGTTCCCGTTTCGCCGGCTCTGAAAACGAACTTCATCGTGCGTGGCGCCGCTATAGCCTACCAGAGCGGGACAAGAAACATCCGTCCTCGGCAGAAGCCTGACCAGTTGAAGTGTCTGCAAACTTGACCCGAGCACCTGAGCATGCCTTTCGAACTGTCAGAAATTTCATCCCGTATGTTGACTCGACGGTCGTCGCAGTTCCAAACTGACACGTGGCAGCATCGTTTTGGCTGGTCTGACATGCACCCATGTCCAACAAGCCTCCCTGTTAGAGCCAGAAGACGGGTTTCCTTTTTGCGCTCTACCGGGGAAACAAAAGCGCGGGTCGTCCCGAACACGAAACGATACGCGCCTACTGTTGACTCCAGTTGACTTCGTGAACTTACGTCCTCGACCACCGTGTCCAGGGGCCACTCTCCCGCGCTCCGGTCCAGGATCTCGGGCAAGTTCTTGCTGTCGTACGCCTGCTTCATTTCCCGCTTCACGGTCTTCGCAGACCGCTTGGTTAACAGCTGCAGCAGGCATACCCCCAGTGCGTACACGTCGCTGCTTTTCTCGACGGGTGAACCGTCGAACAGCGCTGCGCGTCCGTGCGAAGAAGGGTTGAGAAGGAGGAGGGCCAAAGTGGAAAGAGAGGGGCAAACAGGCCGCAAAGGAAAGAAGACAGTTTAGAGATGGAAAGAAAATTTGGATCGATTGCAGGACACGACGGTTTCGAAAAGGGGAACGGCGAAAGAACACAGAAATTTTCTGGAAACGTCGTAGTAAGAAAGATGCATTATCGCATGCAAGCTTCCTTCAAGCATACTTCGCATGCGGTTATGGAAAGCTAGAGTGCACTAATAGTACGCCGTACGCCCCTCGACTTTTGCATCGTTCATGAGCAAAACATTGGACCAACGACACAAAGCTAGCGCCAGCCTCCTGAAATCCGCTCTACAGTCTGTCCTATCAATACACGTAAGAGACGGACCTGGGTCCACATAGCCGAAGGAGCCCCGAACTTCGCTGGAGCTCGTCCGGAGCGTCAGCGCGCTCGTGAGCCTGGCGGTCCGCGCCTCCGCGGCGGAAATCATCCGACAGATGCCGACGTCTTCTAGCTTGGCAGCTTTGCTCTCGTCAAGCAGAACGTTGGCTAGCTTGATGTCGCAGTGGATGATGTCGAGCTTGTGCATCCACAGGAGCGCGGTCGCGGCCTGTCAAAGGGGACACGCAAAAGATGAAGCTTTCGAGACTGGAGTCATTTACCCTACCATCTGGAACGGGTTCGATCCCAGGTGCTGCTTGACTTAGCGACGCTGGTCGCATGGCTGGAGAGAAACAAGATTGGGTCCTACAAGGCCCGCTGTCGACCTCTAAAGAGCAACAGCTGATACAGAAGCCTCGATGTTGCGCTTAAGCCAAAGATAAGGAAAAATCAGAAAAAGGCCTTATGAAGAGCGGTCCACAGAACGCGGTGCTCGATTTCAAGGGTGAGGAAGACCAAAAATCACTTCGTGACAACAAAATCAAGCAACAACAGGCTACATGCGTCAATGCAGGCGTGGGGGACCGTCGCTTGCAGCTTGCTCTGCTTGTTACGAGTATTGTGGATGTACTGATTGAGATGAGGCCAGCTCACCTCCATCATAATTCGCAGTCGCGTATACCACGGCAGCGGAAAGCTCTCGTCGGCGAGCCTCTCCTCGAGGGAACCCCCTCCACAGTACTCGTAGACGAGGCAGTGCTCCTCGAGGCAGCACCCCATCAGAACGACGATGTTCGGATGTCGCAGCGTGGTAAGCAGCTCGACCTTCA